GCAAAAGATTGATCGACTGATGGAGAAGTTTGCTAGCAGATACTGCGAATGCAATCCACAGAATCAGCTATTCCAGAGCGCGGACACAGTTTATGTGCTAGCCTTTAGCATTATTATGCTGACCACGGATCTTCATTCCCCGCAGGTCAAGCACAAAATGACCAAGGAGCAGTACATTAAAATGAATCGCGGCATTAGTGACAGCAAAGATGATCTGCCCGAAGAATATTTGTCTTCTATATACGATGAAATTTCCGAGCATGAGATTAAAATGAAGAATAATACCACAATGCTCATAGCACCAAAGCCCGCGGGAAAGCAGCCCTTCATTACGGAGAAGCGACGCAAACTGCTGTGGAACATGGAAATGGAGGTCATCTCCCTGACGGCTACCAATCTGATGCAGTCTGTATCGCATGTGAAATCGCCGTTTACATCGGCCAAGCATCTGGAGCATGTGCGTCCAATGTTCAAAATGGCCTGGACACCATTTCTGGCCGCCTTTTCTGTGGGCCTGCAGGTCTGCGATGATCCAGAGATAGCTACTCTCTGTCTGGACGGCATACGCTGTGCAATTCGAATTGCGTGCATTTTCCACATGTCTCTGGAACGGGATGCCTATGTTCAGGCGCTGGCACGCTTCACCTTATTGAACGCCAATTCGCCAATTAATGAGATGAAGGCCAAGAATATAGATACCATTAAGACGCTCATCATGGTCGCCCATACCGATGGCAATTATCTAGGCAGTAGCTGGCTAGACATAGTCAAGTGCATTAGCCAGCTGGAGCTGGCGCAGCTCATTGGCACTGGAGTGCGGCCGCAGTTTTTGTCTGGCGCACAAACCACGCTCAAGGATACGCTCAATCCTAGCGTCAAGGAGCACATTGGCGAGACGAGCAGCCAGAGCGTTGTTGTGGCTGTCGACCGCATCTTTACTGGGTCCATGCGTCTCGATGGCGATGCGATTGTGGACTTTGTGAGGGCACTATGCCAGGTGTCTGTGGATGAACTGCAGCAGACACAGCCGCGAATGTTCTCGCTTCAGAAAATCGTCGAGATTAGCTACTACAACATGGAGCGTATTCGTTTGCAATGGTCACGCATCTGGCAGGTGCTTGGCGAGCACTTCAATACCGTCGGCTGCAATAGCAACGAGGAGATTGCATTCTTCGCTTTGGACTCACTGCGTCAGCTATCCATGAAGTTTATGGAGAAGGGCGAATTCAGCAACTTTCGTTTCCAAAAGGATTTTCTACGTCCCTTCGAGCACATCATGAAAAAGAACAATTCGCCGGCCATACGCGACATGGTCGTGCGCTGCATTGCTCAGATGGTCAACTCTCAAGTAATTATCCCAGCTTCCGAACCAACTATATCTACTTAATATGTTTGTAATCACGTATTTATTTCTTTTTTTTTTGCAGGCTCATAATATAAGATCTGGCTGGAAGAACATCTTCTCTATATTTCACCTAGCTGCCGGGGATCATGAGGAGCCAATTGTGGAGCTGGCGTTCCAGACAACGGGCAAAATCATTGGCGAGCTCTATCGGCGACAATTTGCCGTTATGGTGGACTCTTTCCAGGATGCCGTCAAGTGCCTGTCAGAGTTTGCGTGCAATGCACGCTTTCCGGACACTAGCATGGAGGCGATACGCCTAGTGCGTAACTGTGCCCAGTGCGTCCATGATGCACCCCAGCTGTTTGCTGAGCATGCGGGCATGGAGAACGATGCCTCCGTGGCGGAGGAGGATCGGGTGTGGGTGCGCGGCTGGTTTCCCATGCTCTTTTCGCTTTCCTGCGTTGTCAATCGCTGCAAGCTGGATGTCCGCACACGCGGCCTGACCGTGCTCTTCGAGATCGTGAAAACGCATGGCGATAGCTTTAAGCCAAACTGGTGGAAGGATTTGTTTAATGTGATCTTTCGCATCTTCGACAATATGAAGCTACCGGAGCATGTGACCGAAAAGTCCGAATGGATGACAACCACTTGTAATCATGCGCTTTATGCAATCATTGATGTCTTCACGCAGTATTTTGATGTGCTGGGCCATCTGCTGCTAGAGGAACTCTTCGCCCAGTTGCACTGGTGCGTGCAGCAGAACAACGAGCAGCTGGCACGCTCCGGCACCAATTGCCTTGAGAATCTGGTCATCTCGAATGGGTTTAAGTTTAATGAGGTCACCTGGGACAAGACCTGCCAGTGCATACTGGACATATTCAATGCAACGCTGCCCAAAGAGCTGCTCACTTGGCGGCCCAACAAGGGCACTGATCAACAGCCACAGCAGCAGCTGCCACGCCGTGCCTCCAGTACACCACATTCCACAAGCAGTGCGCCGCAGGAACCGACGTTTATGGCGTTGGCGCACAATCAGTTCGAGGCACTGCATATCAAGTGTGTGGTGCAGCTGGAGCTGATACAGACCATGGATAATATTGTCTTCTTTCCGGCGACCTCGCGCAAGGAGGATGCCGAAACGCTGGCTCAGGCGGCGGCCGATATGAGCGGCTGTCGTGGCGGCTCCGGGCAATCACAACAGCTGCAACTAGATTGCCAGCGCGAGGAACAGGGCATGTACGGCTATTTGCGCACACGGCAGCTCTTCACGCTCGCAGAGTGCCTGATGCAGTCACATCGTTTTGCCAAGTGCTTCAATGCGGATCAGGATCAGCGCAATTTATTGTGGCGGGCGGGCTTTAAAGGCTCCGTCAAGCCGAATCTGCTCAAGCAGGAGACCGCCTCGTTGGCCTGCGTGTTGCGCATCTTTTTCAAAATGTACGGCGATGAGAATCGACGCAGCGACTGGCCCGGCATTGAGCAGGAGCTAGTGCAAGTCTGCAAGGAAGCGCTCGCCTACTATCTTAGCTTGCAGAGCGAGGCGCATCGCGATGCGTGGACCTCACTGCTGTTGCTCATCCTGACGCGGCTGCTCAAGATGACCGATGCCAGGGTGAGTGGCATATATACATATATAAATATAATCTTGTCTTTAATTTGACCGTTATCCTTTCGCAGTTTGCGACGCATGTGTCCAACTACTACAGCCTGCTGTGCGAAATGATGTGCTTCGACCTCAAGCCCGAACTGAGAAGTGTCCTTAGGCGTGTCTTTATGCGCATCGGTCCAGTATTCAATATTATGAATGTGAATGTTAATCTAAATGTCAAATAGTCAAGGCGCACGCACTTAACAGCGACACGGCCACTGCTACGTTGACTTGGCAATGTTGAGAGGCATCAACCCTTTCCACCTACCCCTTCTTACACCCACACACATACCCCCACAACCAACTGGTTACCCACTAGTTATCCATATCCTGGCTTTGTTGTTACGTTGTTTAGTTGTCATTTTTGGCCCCATCCGCCGCAAGCAGAGTTTATATTTTATTATATTTATATACATAAATGTATACATTTATGCGATCGTAATGTTTATACCTAGGTTTAAACAAAATGTTGTTGTTTTTTACCATGTTTACACATACACACACTCATGCTGGGTGTGTGTATGTGTGTGTGTGCGTGCGCGCGCGCCCGCTAAATGCTTTAAAGTGTATGTGAATCGGTTTACGTGACACATACATATATATGTGTTTTATAACCTATAGTTTAACCTTTTCTTTCTGGCAAACGCAAAATTCTTTGGTGTAACCATTCATTTAATCCACTATTATTATATATTATCTATCTATTATTGTATAGCATAAATAATGATAAATCATATGCTACACTTTGGCCTGTATATTGCTAGTTTTAATTTAAATCAAATTATATATTACAAATATATCTATTACAGCAATAAGAAGTGTACGCATATTGTATTTCAAATTAGATAACAATTAGATGAGAAATCTTCAGTATAATAAGCATTATGTTATCTGTATGAGCCATGACTTTTTGATGCAGATCGACGCGATTCAAAGACTAGCTTGATGTCAGTTGGCCAACAGACAGTCCTTGTCCTGCCAATATGGAATATGCAATAGTAAAGATCTTTATTAAAGGATTTTTATTTGCACACAAAAAAAGGCCATAACTTGCTCCCGACCTTGTAGATCCTGGCGAGCTTGTGTCAAACACTTCATATGGACCAGGACTACCAGTTGACCAAAGAACATCGATATCAAAGATATTGTCATTATATCCAATTTGTCGTATCCTTAGAGTCTTATATGCAGAACGCTGAAGTTCATCCCTACGATCCTAACCATCAAATCTGCAAGTATTTGACCAAGTTATGGATATTTTTCGCAAAAAGGACATGAATCTCTAAATCGGCCAGAACATGTCCATTTCAGCACTATCCAAGAATTTTCATAATTCGTCAAAAAGTTGCACATTTTTCATTTTTCCTATCCAGACGGGACCAGGACTATCACTTCCCCTGTGAAAGTTTGTAGTGAAATTTCGAATCGTGGAACTCCTTGAATGTAAATCGATAGTCGTGGTCTTCTATAGTTTAAAAATGTCTATCCTTCCGATAGTCTTAAGGATTTAGACGAGCTATGGCAAAGAAAAAAATGTTCATTTTAGAAATATAACCATATCTAGGAATCTTAATGGGCGAATGCAATGTCCTTTGGACCGTTTAGAGCTGAGAGCCTGATCAATTTAAATTGATTGGCACATGACTCCTCAAGTTAAGTAAGCCTACAGCCGAGTTATTGGCAATTGTCTGCATAACAAAACGTCTCTTTTTCTCAGCTCCTCGCATGACTCTCGTCCTCATTATATACTCATCAGCGGTAGGACAAGGACTGTCTGCTGGCCAAAGAAAATCAGGATTGTCTTTGAAATAGTCAAGTTATGGGCGATTTTGTGATTAATAATCCTTCTTAGAAAAATATCCATAACTTGGTCAAATCCTTGATTGTAATCCTCGAGCTGTGTTAAAAAATCTAAGGATCCGAAAAATTTAAGTTGCTTATAGAAAGAAAACAGAATGAAATGAAAAAATCTTTAATGTTTCGAGGACTGTATGAATGATTGCGATATCTTTTGGTCAGTTGGCAGCCCTGGTCCATATCTTATCTTAGCGCCCTTTTTACTGTGTATTGAACTGGACTTTATGCTTGTGAGTGAAGGATATAGGAAAGTTATGGATACACTTCTTTAAATGTCCTTTTATTTATTTTCATAATTTGGCTATGTCCTCATGATATCAATTAAATGAATTGAATAAAGATTCGCAAAGAGGTCCTTTAAAGATCATTAGAAAAACAAAACACATTTACCTTACCTCCTAAGTAAAAAGTTGTCGGATGGCCTGTTTTCAATTTGTTAGATTAAATACAGCGACTGATAGAAAAATTGTAAGACTCAGGTATGACATTCTTAGATGCGAGTATTAGCAATCTAGACGGCGTAGCTGCGGCAGAGTCGTCGGCACAGGATACCCAAGGTAAATTAGCGATTGGCCATAGCAGCCGGAAAAGGAAGATCAAAAACTGAGATCATGGGAAGACGTCCGACATGGTGAGCGCAAGCTGCTAGAGCTTCAAGGCTATCCGACACGAATGGCGCACCCAAAGCAGCAGAGATGTTGTTCCAAAATCATCTGAAATCTTATAATAATGTAATTGGAACTGAAAGACCCTTTAATTATGGTGTTACCATGGCTGCTCTCCACGCGCAGAAAAAGGGATTTAGCGAGCATCCAACTAGGTTCAGTTTATCCTTACAGTAGTCCTTTTAATGCAGAAAAGAGAAGAGAGTGTGTTATATTTTATTTATTTACATCTTTTAATGGGGAACAAACAATGGACAAATGCAAACATTACGATAGGCAACCAAGCTATGCAAACCAAAAAAAGAGAAGCTTTTTTTTGTAATGCCAAATAAAGATAAGTATATTTTGAAATGCCAACTAGTAATCCTGATTCGTAAAATGTAATGGCAATTAGTAATCCTGGTCCGCGAAATGTCAAGAAATTGGTTATATATATAAGGATTCAAAGGACTATAACATACGACAACCTAATGATGCCGGAATAGCACGAATTTACATGGCCAGATTGGGCTGATTATTCCAAAATGCACTCAATTAGCTATTCGAAATTTAAGTCCGTCCATGGACGATGGACTCGTGAGTCCATTTTGATTTCATGAATAGAACAGATAATTTAGTCTAATTTAATAATTTAAATTCTTAAATGGCATGCACAACGCAGAAAATAAGCTTCTCTCTTCTACATTAAATTATCCAAAAATAAATAAATATGTATGTATGCAATCGGATAATAATTCCAAAGATTTTGCCATCTCTGTGTCGTGCTTTAGTTTTTTGCTTGAGTCTTTTGTTTTCCCATTGCTTCGCCTATTACAAACACACATACAAATGTGCATAATGAATCGCGCACACATATACATTTTCCTTGATGTATCGTTTATCTATTCTTGCCTTATTTCTATGCGTCCTTTTTTCTTTACGTTCACATTGCACTCTCGCAACTTCGTTGTGTATTAGTTTGACCCCAGTAGTCAATATGATAAGAACCATACGAGAATAAAAAGAGTAAGCCATTTGAATCGGACCATATTTACTGGTTATATTTGATAAATAACATGTTTGTGTGCTTTAAATGAGGCTGCTCAAACCTGATGTAAAAACCTTTTGAATGTGTTTTTATACTTTATTTAAAAACCTTTCATTGACTCGCCCAGTAAGACCTGCAAGTTTTTTGCAACATATCATATTAACTAGGAATCTTAAACCAATACAGAATGGAAGAGGGCGAAAAAGCGGCGCACAGAAAATAGGCAAGCAGCTGCTCACAATACGAATCCGTACAAAGAAATTGTTTGCATCGGAAAGCCATAAGCAATTTTGCGCTTCCCTCTGCAAACATGTGTTTGCATGTGCGTTATCCACTTTGGCATATGTGTGTTTGTTTTTGTATTATCTACTTATCATTCGCGCTCAGACGAATTGAATCGAGATGGAGAAATTCTGTTCTTTTGACTGTCTTTTTTTTTATTGTGTGTCGCTTTTTTGATCCCAGTTGTAATGTAACCGTAAAGGTATAAAAAGGGTAAATCATTTGAAAATAGGACCATATTAAAAATTTAAATGATACTTGTAAAGATTTTAAATTATTATTATTTGTGGAAATTAGGTCGGATTTTAGGTAGATATGCCATTTTTTAATAATTGTGGAATATATTGGAATTTTATTTTTATTTTAGAACCGATCTACTTTTTGTAAAAATAGTTGCTTAGCAAACAATTTCTCAAATTTTGCAACGTAAAATTAATATGAAGTTCGTAAACACGCTGCATTCAGCCTTAAAATATTAGATATCCTACGGGAATTTTCGCTGAATCTAAAATTGGACATTTTTATACAAGGGATATGGGATTGCAACAAATTCAAAAATCAACAGTCGTTAAAAATCTGTCCGTTGGCAGCCGAGATTTTTCTTGAATTCTGGCGAACAGGGGCTTTATTTAGCCATTTATAGCCGTTTGTAGCGGTTTTTAGCAGAATTTTAGTAGTTAGTACTGCATACTTTCGTGCTGTCTACATAATACGTTGAAATTAAAATTAAAATTGAAATTATCTCGGGTACCATATGTCCGATTTCGAAATGATATACCTCTTTCTTCTCGTACGGATCCCGACTATCGATTGACACCAAAAAAAATCTGAATTCTAAGAAATGGCCCAATTTGAGAAAAACGACTATGTTTTTTGCAAAAACTACGATTTTGGCTGAAAATGGCTGTGACCACGAGTCGAACGAGACCAATCTTTCCAAGATCGGGGCTTATTTGGCCGAGATACAGCGATTTAAAAAACGCGAAAAAATGCCGTTATAATTTTGAAGATTTTTCGTTTTATTTGGCTAAAAGTGGAAAGTTATACCTTTTTGAACTCGTACTGATCTCTGGAATCGACTTGCATACCACGTTTTTTGATTTTGTTTGGAAATCTAAAATTTGCTGTTAAGCAACAGTAAATGTAACAGGAGTGCTGTAAAGACGGCTGTTAAGTAGCATTCCAGCTACAGTTAATGTACAGGGGCTCCTGAAAGAGAAATGTTTTTCGACCATTTTGCCACATTTTGCAGAGATCTGATCCTCTAGGTTTCCAAGGACTATATCGACTAGATGCATATAGATTTTTTGAGCTGGCTATATAAAATTTATGATGCAGAGTTTAAACGTTTAAGCAAATAATAAGTAAATTAACAAAAAATAAAAATAAATAAAGCATTAACGATAACATAGTTCCTTATATATTGTGTAAATAAATTTCCTCTTGCAAAAAGTCAACATTTTCAGAGGATTTCGCGTTTGTACCTAGAATTTAGCTTGAGAGATTTTGAAAGGAATCAAAGAACTTTGGCAGTTGCACCTTATTTATTAATTTTTTTGGCAGCATTTGCGAACATCAGAATTTCTCTCAAAATGTCTAGCATTTTCAATCTAAAAAATATGAAATATGTATATTATAAAGACATTTCGCAACAGCAGATCGATGGGGTATATTTTATAATGCTGCAGTTAGCACTTGGAATGAGTATGATAAATAAATGAACAGAGCGAGGTATAGACAAAATGTATTTTTAAAATCTAATAAAAAATGATTTCTGCGATAAAATGCTTTCACCTACTACTTTAGCCCATTTGCTTTGTGTTTGAATAGCTCTGGGATCATCATACGATTTGGGACAAGAAATGGATTTTATATAAACTTTATTGAATTACTTATGAGCATCCAAATTTCTTTCTATTCAAATAATCTCTGCACACGTGACACATATGTGAAATATTTTTTATATATTTGGTTTTGTTTTTAAGCA